GGCAAAATTTACTTAATGTCTCACTTAATCACAAAAATTGTGAGACTAGAATAAGAGACAAACTACGGATCAGATTTTCAAGAAGCTGGGAAATATTTTGGATTATTGCGTACTGAGTAAATGCTACAATTGGCCCATTTGGATAACTGACTTTGTTTTGAAAGAAATGGGAGACTGAGTAAAATAAGTATCTGCTGGAAAGAAGGCAGTGAGGGAAGCTGAAACAGAGCTTCATTTACTAAACTAGGACTTTGGACTTTTTGACCTTTGGATTTGATTGTGGTGTGATTGTTTATTCCACTCTTATCGCTATTATGGCAGGAGTTGAAGGATTTATCATTGTCAAAGAACCACCCAGTAATTTGGGAGGCCAATTAGAAGATTTGGAATAAATACTCAAGAGTATGAATGGTTGAAAATAAATTCAAAAGATATTGGCTGAAATAATATACTAGTCTCTGGGATTGAATATATCTATCAAAGAAGAGGATTTCAGCTATTAAGAAAGAGGAAAGAAAAAGAAAAAAGGAGAAGATATAATGGAGGAGCTACTTGTTGATATAAGACTGGACTCACAAGACATAAGATCAGATATGCAAGATACAAGGGACATGATAAAAATCAAACTTGAAATGTGTAATTATGTAAATTAGAAATGGTGACTCAGCATACACAAGAACACAATGCACCAGAGGGGGAAGAGTTCTATAAAGAAGAAACCAATTTAGAAGGACAAAACGAACAAAGCAGGGGGGGAAAGGAATTAGAATGAAAAATTTGTGGTCTGGTGGGATGATAAAATGGAGAATGGTTCGGAAAATGGTTAAAGAGAGAAGGAAAAAGCAGAAAAAGGAAGTGCAAAAGAAAAATCAAAAGAGGGAGAGAAAAAAGTTTAATAACTGGAATGAGAAAAGAAGGGGAATAAGAACGGGGAAAAAGGGAATTAAGAGAAAGGACCAGAAAATAAAGAACAGGAAACAAACAAGGATGAAAAGAAGGTACACTGTTCAAAGAGTGAGAGATAATGGGTGAAAAAAAAAGGGACAAGGAAGGGGATTCTGCAAGGCAGTGTGTTGGGATGTATTGAAAATAGTATTTTGTAATGTACAGATGATTTATAAGAAAATATAATGCGGAATCTGAGAAAAATATATTTGTGTTTTATACTAGATAGGAAGATTGATATTAAGGAAGAATGAAGGTGGTTAGCTCGAATTACTAACTAGGGACAATTATATTTACAGATAAGGATAAAATGACAAATGTGACAGAAAAAAATAATATGAGAAATGACAATAGAAAGGAGATCAGAATTTTAGATAACATTGTAAAATAAGATATGAGAATATACTAAGAAAAATGGAAGGAGATATATCAGGATTTGGAACTGAATAAATGAACATAGAATTGAGATGAGAATATTAGATAATATTGTAAAATAAGATGTGAGAACATGAATTAGGATTGGATAAGTTTAATATTTAATAATGGCAAGGATGACGCAATATGAAATTAAACGAATAAAATGAATAGGTAACTATGGTCATGTTTGTATTGAGATGTGAAACCTGGAACCATACTGCTTGCCAAATGAGAATTTTTTATTTAAAAAAACAAAATGGAAACAGGGAGAAAATTGAATAATGGAATTACTAGGTATGTTTAATTGATATGGCGGTAGGCATTTGGATAGAGTAAGGTTGAAAATAAATATTGAAGAATGTATGAATTATTATGAATATATGCAATGAGAGGTGTATGATATATTGATGCCACACTGTTAATGTATTGTTGTTATATGTAGATTGAAATAAAAAAAATTGGGGAAAAAAGGAGATATACATTAAAATAATATGAGGATTGCATAAATTTGATAAACTTGAGAGAGACTATAAACAATGTCAGAATGAATTGGATTAATATGGAATGAAACCTACTTAAATTTGTTTATATATAATAGGGAAGTGTTTAGACTGAATAAGAAAGATATAGATGAAGAAAAAAAATAAAGAGTTAGGCATTTTTTGTTTATATATATTTGAAAAACTTAATGATTTAAATTGGATAAATATGATAGAGATTACTAATACTGTGAATGTGATTTCAATTAACATGAATGATACCCGGAACCAACTCTGTTCACACACAATATGGATGTATAATCAATAATAATAATAATAATAATAATAAATATATTTTTAAAAAATTGTGGGCTCAATTGCGGTCGAGGACTACCAATATTGGCCAAGAGTAGTAAATTCAAAACCTCACTGAATCATGACACCCATTGAGTGACCTTGGACCGGCTAAACTACAGGTTGTCCTTGATTTAGGACCACGGTTGATCTCAAAACTTCCATTGCTTAAGCTAGATAGTTGTTAAGTGAGCTTTGTCCCATTTTGCGATCTTTCTTGCCACAGTTGTTAGGTGAATCGCTGCAGTTGTTAAGTTAGTCACACAGTTGTTAAGTGAATCTGGCTTCCCCACTGACGTTGTCAGAAAGTCGCAAAAGGGGATCACATGACCCTAGGACTCTGCAACGGTCATAAATATGAACCAGTTGCTAAGATTCTGAATTCTGATCCCATGTTTATGGGGACGTTGCAAAGTTCGTAACTGAAAAACAGTCATAAGTCTTTTTTTTCAGTGCCATTTTAAGTCAAGGACTACCTGTAGGTTTTATTAATGTAGCCAATACATCTCAGCAAAGAGCTTGGGAATTGAAGAAGTCTCTTAGTTAGCATTTAACATAACATAACAACAGATAATCAGAGTTGGAAGGGACCTTATAGGTCATCTAGTCCAACCCCCCTGCCTCCACGCCCAAGCAGGAGACCCTACACCATTTCTAATAAATGGCAGTCCGATCTCTTCTTGAAAGCTTCCAGTGATGAAGATCCCAAAACTTCTGAAGGTAATTTCTGTTCCATGGATTGATTGTTCTCACTGTCAGAAAGTTTCTCCTTATTTCCAGGTTGAATCTCTCCTTGTTCAGTTTCCATCCATTATTCCTTGTCTGGCCTTCAGCTGCTTTGGAAAATAGCTTGACCCCTTCCTCCTCTCTGTGGCAGCCCTTCAAATATTGGAAGGCTGCTATCCTGTCTCCCCTGGTCCTTCTCTTCCCTAGACTAGCCAGGCCCAGTTCCTGCAACTGTTCTTCATATATTTGTATGTACTTCATATGCATGAAAAGGGAGTCAAAGCAGGCTAGGAGAAAATTACCCATTAGACTCAAATACCACATCAGCGTTTGTATTCTGGACTTTGGAAATCAGCAGGGAAATGAACTGGACAGGTTCTCACCAAACCTGGCAGACAATCTCTGCTTGATATACATACCACAAAAGTTGGTTCTTACCTGACATGCCCATTCTCTGGGAGCTGTGAAGACCACCCAGGCCAGGGTAATGTTCTGAGGAACTGCCTCCTTGACACTTGTCCCCAGTGTTGGCGAAGTCCAAGTGTTAGGTTACACCATTGTTCTTCCTTCACCGTTGCTCTTTGTTCTTGACCAGGATCAGACCCAGACCCAGATGGTCATTTGGGTGGGGCTAGATGCTCTTCACAGCTCCCAGAGAATGGGCGTATCAGGTAAGAACCAACGCCCCTTCTCCAGTGAGCTGTTCTGGTCATCTAGGCCAGGAACATATCCAAGCTGGTGTGTCCTACAGGAGGGTTTCTGTCTGGTTTGGAGACTCCCTCACCGTGTGAATTCGCTGTAGGACATGTCTGCCAAAGGCAGCCTCTGCCGAGGCAAAGATGTCCAGTCTGTAAGGCCTTATGAAGGGCAAGAGGGATGACCACATTGCTGCCCTACAAATTTCTTCGATAGAGGCTTCTTTTTTTGTTTATCTTCTTCTTCAATTTTTTGGAATCTCTCATCATACTTCAACATCATTTGTTGGATGTTCTCCACTTTTTCATTGGTTTTCCCTGTTCTTTGTTCAATGTTCTCTGTTCTTTGTTCAATGTTCTCTGTTCGATGTTCTCTATTCTCTTTTCAATATTCTCTGATCTTGCTTGAATATTTTGAATTCCTTGCATAATCATCTGCAGAGTCACTTTTTCTTGTTCTTTTTTCTTGCTTTAACATTGTCTGTATTGAACGTTGTCCTCCAGATGGTGGAGAGGAAGAAGTAGAAGTTGAAGAACCAGGAGCTGTAAATTTCCTATTCATTTTAAGCAATTCAAAATCTTCAGGTTCTTCTAAACCTTAATCCAATTGTGAAGTAACCAATTATAGTTCAAAATAAAAATAGTAGAAAAAAGAAGCCCAATAATAATAATTTAAAAAAAGAAAAAAGAAGGGAGGACAAAATTTCTTCAGGTTCTTGTATACCTTAATCCAATCAATAGTTAGATGGAAAAAAAAGGCTTTAAAAAGAAAAAAGAAAAAAAAGGAAAAGGAAAAATTCTTCAGGTTCTTCAACACCTTAATCCAATTGAAAGGTCTCAAATAGAAAAAAGAGTACATAAGAATAAACCAGAAAGGTAGATGAAAAAACAAAAATACCAGGAAAGGAAAAAAAAAGGCTTTTAAGGCTTTCCTTTAAAATAATAAGCAAACGTAGAGATTGGAATTCCAAAGAAAAAAAGAAAAACAAAGACAAGCTCCAACAAAGCCAAAAACCCATATAGTTATTTAAAAAAAAAGATAAAAAGAAATACAATAAAGCTGGTGAGGAGGGATAGCACAACTTAGAAAAAGTAAAAAGGGCACACTGAACTTTGTTTAATTATCCAAGGCTCTTATTATCGCTCTCTTCTCCAAAGACTTATCACCTTTTTCCCCCCTAAGTTTCAACACCAGACTCCAGCTGTTGATAGAAACCCAGAAGAGCACCTGCAATAATACTCTCCCATGCTCTTCCCTCTATCTTATCAAATAGCAATGTCCTTGAAAAAGAGTCTCAGTTCTTTCTTTCTCAGCTTTGTCTGGTCACAGGGAAATGGAATATTTTCAAGCCTCTAGTTGGCAGTGTTACAAAGTTTCTTTGCTCTCACTTTCCCCCTCCTTTTCCGAGTAGGATATAATAAGAATTCATAAAAAAAAGAAAAAGATATTTAAAAAAATGAAATAACTAAAGGGAGCCTCTAGCCTAAAATATCACAAAATCAAAAAGGAGAAGAAAAAAATAGATATAAACGAAAAAACCAGTCCAGTTTCAAAATACAAGATCATATATAGAAAATCCAGCAATGAGAAAAAAAACAAAACATTACTTTGACATTCCTGTTTAAAATCACTGCTTAATCACTTCTGTCAAAACTTTTACAGATTCTTTCTTTTCCTTTGGGTGTCCTTTCAGATCTTAGAATAAAGAAAAAGTTCTCACCAAACTGGCACACTCTCTCTTTCTGTTCCGTTTCGGAGCTGTCCCAACTTCAGCAGCTTTAATGGCTGCCTCTTTGCCGCTGGCAAGAAGAGCTTCTCCTGGATCTACCAGGGACTTTGCGGTATCCCTGGGATCGACAGGATGTGCTCTTCACTTTCACTGTCTCTTCGGGATGGTTTAGATCTGATAGGACCGTCCAGGAGCAAAGATATCGGCAGCGATCTCAGACCTCCAAGATTGTATGCCGTATCATCGCGACGCCAGCTCCGCCCTCTTCGATAGAAGCTTCTGTCACCCTGGTGGAGCGCGCCGTGATTCCTCTGGGCACTGGTAAGTTCTGCAGTTCATACGATTTTGCAATCGTAGACCGCAGCCATCTGCCCACCATCGAAGCTGTGACTTTCCTCCCCAGGGCGGAGGGCTGGAACGAGACAAAGGGGGCCTCCATCTTTCTGTGGGAAACAAATCCTGTTGATATAAATGCGGAGGGCCCTTCTCACATCTAAGGAATGCCATTGCCTCTCTAAGGCATGAGCCAGCCTTGGGCAGAAGTTGGGGAGAATCAACTCCTGCGCCCGATGGAAAGAGGAATTGACTTTGGGTATGAAAGCCGGGTCTAGGTGAAGAACCACCCTTATCAGAGTGGAAGACGCAAAGATCCTCCCTCACCGACAGGGTGGCCAGCTCCGATATTCTCCTTGCGGAGGTTATAGCCACAAGGAAACCACCTTATAGGTTAGAAGGTGGAGGCTGGTAGTTCTCAAGGGTTCAAACGGTGGTTTGGTGAGCGCTGTGACAACCTTGTTTAGATCCCAGGCGGGGTATCTATGGACCACTGGAGGTCTTAAATTAGTGGCCCCGCAGAGGAAAGTACATACTCGGATGATGTGTAAGAGACTGTGGATCACCATAGGAGAGAAATGAGGCTAGGGCCGCCACCTGCCTATATAGCGTATTTGGGGAGAGCCCTTGTCCAATCACTCTTGGAGAAAGTCCAGTATGTTCGCCACCGATGCTGAGGTGGGGTCTATCTTCGTCTTGTCACACCACCAGACATTCTTCCAAGTGGCATTATTAATGCGGTTAGTGGGCAGAAGTCTCACAGCCTGTATACTTTTGATAACCTTGTTGGAGAATTCCTCACCTTTCAGAAGTCTCCACTCAAGCGCCAGTTGGAGCAACTGTGGCTCCAGATGTTGTATGGGCCCCTGGCTGAGGGAGACTCTGTCCAGCAAAAATTTCCAGGGGTCAGCAATCAAGAGGTCCATGAGATCCACAAACCACAGACGTCTCAGCCAGTATGGTGCTAGATGAATTTTCGCCCTCTCCTCTAAGTTTCCTGATTACCTTGGTTATCAGAGGGAGGGGGGAAGGTATAGAGGAGGCCCCGGGGCCAAGGGCAGTGGAGAGAGTTGACTAGCTCTGATCCCTGAGCCGGGAACTTCAAGAAAAATCTCAGCAGTTGGCCGTTGAGTGGCTAGGCAAGGAGACCCAGGATCGGCTGGCTGAAACAATCCAACATCTCTCGGAAGGGGCTCAGATGCAGGCGCCACTCAGAATGGTCGACAGTGGCCCTGCTCAACCAGTCTGCCTGAATATTGGAGTCTCGAGATACGCTCCACCTTAATGGGAGTGAAGATGTTTCTCTGCCCAGCGGCAAAGCCTTTCTGCCTCCCTCATAAGGAACCTTGAATGTGTGCCCCCCCCCCGGTTGATTTATGTGGGCCTTTGTGGCCACATTGTCTGTCAGAAGGAGGACATGCTGTCCCTGGATCTCATGCTGGAACTTGCGGAGGGCCAGATGAGCTGCCCTGAATTCCAGCCAATTGATGCTGTAGGTTCGTTCTGTCGGAGACTAGAGACCCTGGGCTTCTAGGGACTGGCAATGAGCCCCCCAGCCGAAGAGGCTGGTGTCGGTAGTAATTGTCAATCGGCATGGCTCTCTGAAGAGGCAGCCCGTGGTGATGTTCCTGGAAGTACACCAATGGAGTCATAAAAGAACTTTTGGTGGGACCAGGACCTTGGCCATGGAATTGTTCCTACCGGATCTCTGGAATGGGAGCAGAAACCATTGCAATATCCTGGACTGGAAGTGGACCCAAGGGACTATTGCAATACAGGAAATCATCTTTCCCAGAAGTTGAGATAACTAGGCCAGGGACACTCGTATAAGAGTCCGAATGCAATTGGATAAATCCCTGATGCTGACCTGTCGGTCCAGCGAGAGGAAACCCTCGCCTGTCACTGTGTCTATTATGGCGCCCAGGTGCAAAAGACGAGTTGTAGGCATCAGATGGCTTTTGACCAGGTTGACCAAGAAGCCATGGTCCCAAAGTACTTGGAGTGTGGTTTGTAGATCTATCTCTGCCTGCAGGTGAGACATGGATTGTATCAAAATGTCAACTAAGTAACATTGCAGGTGAACCAGCATGCTCCTGAGATACATCGCTAAGGCTGTCAAAATCTTAAAGGTTCAGGGGGCCGACGCCAGGCTGAATGGCAGGGTCCTGTATTTGGAATGGTGGTTGGAGTAACAAAATCGCAGGAATCTTCTGCGCATAGGTCTGATAGGAATGTGCAGGTCCTCTTCGATCAGGTCCACTGAGGTCAAGACGTCTCTCTGCCTGATGCTCAAGAGGATGGATTGCAGAGAGCTCAACTTGAACGTTCTCGTGGACTAGAAAGCGGTTCAGACGCTTTAGGTCTAGAATCGCCCTCCACCCCTCCAAACTCTTTGGAACCACAAAGAGGTGGGAATAGAGCCCCTGCCCATGTTGATCCACTGGGATGCATGGCACTGATGTCCAGCAACTGATAGATCGGGGTCTCCATGAGGGCCCTCCTTGTGAGGTCCCTTGAGACAGGGCATTGCATAAAGAAATTCGGAGGTGTGGAGAGAAACTCTAGAGAGAGACCTGATCTTATGGTCTCTCGGATCCAAGCGTCTGAGGTGGTCATGTCCCACTGGTTGGCAAAAAGGGTCAACCAGCCTCCAATCGGTCGGTTTGGTGGTCATTTGGAGCGATGAAAGGATTTACTCCCAGCGCCATGAACAGACCTCTTAGCTTGGGCTCCTCGCCTTTTCCTGTCTTGGAAACCCGCTCTATCGGATTGTTGTCCCTGACGGAAATCAAAGGACCTTTGGGATCTTTGGAAATTGTTTCCTTGGTCGGAGGATCGAAAGGAAGCCCTCCGAAAGGACTGGGTGGAGCGGTAGTCGAACCGCCGAGAACGGGAAGGTAATATCTTCCTCCTGTCCTGTGCCTCCACCAGGACCTGATCCAAGGTGGACCCAAACAATTTGTTCCCATCAAAGGGAGCGGTTGCCAGCTTTAACTTACGTTTAGTATCTACCTGCCAATGGCAGAGCCATAGCAGACGACGGGCTGTGACTTGGGAAGCTATGGCTCTGGATGAGAATTTTACCGCATTCAGAGTTGCATCAGCAGAAAATTCCATGGCCGCCACTAGTTTTGTGATGTCTTGGTGTGCCCTAATGTTAGTGGCCGGAATGGAATCCTGCAGGTGGCGTAGCCACTTTAGGGAGGTTTGGGTGAAAAAGGACGCGGCTGTGGCTGCCTTAATGGCCCAGGCATTTGCCTGGTGCGCCCTACGGAGTGCTAGTTCTGCCCCCTTTTCCTCCGGTTTCAAAGCATCCTCCACCTTGCTGGGGACAGTGGAGGAAGCTGCTAGGGCCACCACTGGTTCATCTACTACGGGAGTCTGAAGCAACCCTGCCAGGTCAGGAGCTAAATTATAACATTTTCTATCATAGCCAGTAGGGCTGGGATAGGTGCCCGGGAAGGTCCACTGTCGTTGGACCATATCCATGAACATCTTAGGAACCGGGATGACCTCCCCCTCTGCAATTGGTTGAGAGAAAATTAAGCCATCCGACTCCCCCGAGGTCAAGGATGGCTCTGAAGTAAGTTGCAGGGATGTCAAGGCATGTGGTTTTTTTGGCCTTGAACAACAAGGTCTCAAAAAGATGAGGGCAGAACAGTCCTGTAAATGTTGGCTGGTCTGGAGCTAGCCCTTCATCCTTGTCTAGCTGGCCCTCTGTCTCCAATGGAGAGGAATCAGTGTCCTCGGATGACACTGGAGAGTCAGGATCTTGGCCTTCTGAAGGTTCTCCCATGAACTGCATGGGGTAAGGAGGCATCTGAAATTCGGGAAGATTTGCCCTCGGGTGCATGGCTTGGGGTGGTGCCTGGAAATCACAGAGGTCCACCCTGTGTTGCATGGACTGAGGTTGCCCCTGGTGGTGAAGAGGGGCTGACATCCGATACTTCGCCTGGCAGATCTGTTGTACCCCCGCGGCAATGCCACGTCTGATTGCCTCCAATATCCAAAACCTCATAGATGGGGGAATGTCCTGAGGTAGGAATTCCTCTGCATGGAGCCCCACTGCAGTTGGGGTGAAGGTAGCCTCAGGCGCTAACCTGGGTCTCTTAGTTTGGTGAGCCACTTGCCCTGTTGGCGACACAGAAACAGGGAAAGTTGGATCAACTGCGTTGCTGATGACTGGGTCTGGGGCCTGAGGAACGAAGGTCTCAGGTGCTCCCCTTGGTGACCAAACTGGGCTCTCAGGTTGTCTCTGCCCCTGTTAGAGACCGTTAGGTCCAGAGGAGGGACTGGAAGGGGTTAGGGAGAAGGTATCGCAGCTACTGGAGAAGCTGATTCCCTGTTTTTTTCAGCCTCTCGAAGACTCTTCTCCAGCTGTTTCTCCAGTGCCTTTTGGCCCCTTTTCTCATCCTTCTCTGCTGCCTTGGAGGACTTTTTGGAATAAGAGGCCGGCTGTGAAAAGCCTCAATATTAAGGGAAAATAGTAAAGGAATCTCTTGTCTCAATGGAAGGTTTCGGTCGATGCAAAATGGTGCCGGCTGTCAAAATCCTCGGCGTGAAATTTAAATCCAAAATGACGCTGGCTGTTACAAGTCTCGGCGCGAAAATCAGAGTACCAAAATGGCGTCGGCAGTTAAGGGAGGACTTGGCATGAGCTAAAAGAATTTTAAGGAGCTCAGAAAAGTTGCGCTGAGTAGTGGAATCGTGCCAACTTGCTTCTTGTTCAGGACAGTTATTGATATGTCGCCTCTGGCCGTAAGAGGCTTTAGTGGCAGAATCAAGCTCCTGCTCTTCGCACCGCTACGGCCCGCTGTTAAGGGCCTGTCGCAACTGACGGCCAGCTGAAAAAAATGATGTAGGTTGTCAGAGTCTTTAACAAAAAAACCTTTCAAGGCTGGAAAGGGATTGCAAACTGCCCTGAGGGCTGCATTCTCACCGTAGACAATTCAAAACCGGTGAAATGAGTAGCGTTCCAAGAATCCTAGCCAAAGAACACGTCTAGGTCAAAAGACAGGCTCAGCTAAAACTGGGGACAAGGGTCAAGGAGGCAGGTCTTCAGAACTTTGCTCAGCCTATCAAGCAGCAGACGGAAGCATTACCCTGGCTTGGGTGCTCAGAACAGCTCACTAGAGAAGAAAGACGTTTTCGTCAACATCTTACTTTCATAGGGTCTTGCGCTTGAGCCAGGGGGGTTGGATCAGAAGACCTCCAAGGTCCCTTCCAACTCTGCTATTCTGTTAGTCATTCTAGCCACAATCTCAATCAGTAAAAAAAAAAAATGTACTACCAGGCAAGTCAGACGAAATGCTTGATATTGGTGGATGGTGGAAGGGTACAGAGTAGTCTGTTAATGATGGGGCGATGGCCGTAGAATCCACCGTGCTGACTCCTGGCACTCGTACGGCTGCCGGCTGATACACAAGGACGCTGGTTGGGGGAAAAAAGCAGGTGAAACATTAATTTAAAACCAGAAGTAACCAGAAAGAGGTGTAATCTACCACGTAACAGTGACCTTATTGTCCGTCAGCTCACTAGAGCAGGGGTCCCCAAACTGTGGGCTGAGGGCCACTTCTAGGCCATTGGTCTGTTGGCCACCGGGCTGCATGAATGGCTGGCCAGTGTGCATAGGTGCCCGCATGACCCTGCACTCACATTGCACGGGCGTTGGCATCGCTGCGAGCACACCCCCTAACTCACACAAATGTCGCATGCCGCTAGTTTTGCTGTGACCACACCCCCTCACTTGTGCTAGCATCATGCAGGCACTAGCATTGCCTGGATGCTCGTGCCGGCGCTTGCTTTGTGCGTGTGCAGCCCCGATCGTGCGCCCATATGCGCACATAAAGGCACCTGCCTCTCTTCCCCCTCCCCAGGCAGACAACCCAGAAAAGTTGGGGAACTCTGCACTACAGTACAGGGAGTCCTTGACTTACAACAGTCCATTTAGTGACCATTCAAAGACACAACAGCACTGATCAAAATGACTTATGACCATTTTTTACACTTAATAACCTTCGCAGCGTCACATGATCAAAATTTGGATGCTTGGCAATTGACCCATATTTGTGACGGTAGCAGTGACCTGAGGTCACGTGATCCCCTTGGGCGACCTTCTGACAAGCAAAGTCAATGGGGAAGTCAGATTCATTTAACAACCATGTGACTAACTTAACAAAGGCGGGGATTCACTTAACAACTGTGGCAAGTAAGGTCATAAAATGGGGCAAAACACACTTAACAAATGTCTCGCTCTGCAACAGAAATTTTGGGCTTAACTGTGGTTGTAAGTTGAGGACTACCCGTACAGTATCACACCAAAGCATGAGAAAATGTATACATTTGTCATTTTGAATTTGTATCTGTTAAACAAAAGAAGTCCCCAATAATGATTTTATTAATCCCTCTTCTATACTGCCATAATTAAAATAATTAATAATTATGGTATTAATGCCACAATTAACTATCAATATATTTTAAAAATGCAAAGCTATAATTTAAGAAAAAGATGCCTTTACTAAATGACTAATAAATAATGACTAGCACGGATGATGTTACCTAGTCTGCGTAGTGAAACATCTGCAAGGAAACAATCAGGCTCAGAGAGCACCAAGGACTTCTCATTTCAATCCCGAGCTACAAATATTCTCCTTTATGAGTAATAAAAGCCATGAAACCAAACCCCGTTTCCTGGAAAACCAGTGCCACAGGATCTTCTAATGTCTCTGAGCCATGAGGGTTTTCTTAGAAGTGGCTAATTTTAGAGTAAAACCACTGCTGAGCTATGGAAAGAAATGTAAGCGTGGGATAAAGCAAAACACAAGGACATCCTTGTGGAAGGATGAAGGGCTTGCAAAAAGGCAGGCAACTGCCAATGTCAGAAGAGATCTGAGGATGGAAAGCTAACAGCATCCTCTTTGCACAGCTTCAGCTTGGTCTCCCTTTAGAACAGGGGTGTCAAACTGGATTTCTTTAAGGGCCAGATCCGCATTGCATTTGTCTTCTGCGGGCTGGCCAGGGGAAGGGGGGAGGGGAGGGGAAAAAGTGTGTGTGTGTGTGTGTGTGTGTGTGTGTGTAACAGACACCTCCTGCAGCACTCTGCTAGCCAAAAGGGGGCGAGAGGGCCTGGTAGCAGCCCCCCACACACACCTCATTTTCAGCCTGGGCGGCCTGCTGCACCATTCTGCCGACCAAAACTATTGGTAAATTAAGAAGCTTGATCCAAACTGGGTTATCAGTTGTGACAATGGCCTCTTAGGCTCTCGTCTGGCTAAACTTGTTTTCTAAGCTGAAAATTTAGAAAATGAAAATGATAAATTATCTTCACGGGAAAGCTCATGAAAACGTTCCACAGGATGTTGAGAAAGGGGTTCAAAAGCCAGGGAGCCTTCCTGACCTCTATGATCCAACCCAAATCATCCAATCCAATGCCGAGGGTAGCCCTACAAAGAGGAAAACGAACCAACCCTTTCGTGGGACTCGCTTGTGTGTCCGACATGTATATGCATTTCCGTTTGGGCGGGGCGTCCTCCTCTTCGTCAGACGAACTTTCTACAGTGAGATCGATGACGTCCACTTTCTTCTTGCTGACTTCGCCAGTGGGGGTCGAGCCCTGCTTACTGACCATGGCAGAACCTGGAGAGTGCAGGACTGAAGAGAGAAAAGACAGCAGTTGTAATTCAACTGGGTTGATTCAGCCTTCCGTTCCTTCTGAGGTCAGTCAAATGAGGACCCACCAACACTAACAGAACAAGCCACTGGGTATATAAACAGAGAGCAAACCCCACTCCCTTCTAGTACTGATAACGTTACCTAGCTGGATAATGAAATGTCCGCAAGAAAACGACCAAGCTCTGAAAGCATCAAGAACCCACAGTACTGGCAAAGTTGAGGTGCAAACATTGTTTATTGTTTTAACTTGCTACTTTTTCCTCACTAAAATTAATCCTATCCACTTCCATCATGGGACACAGTTGGGCACAATTATATGAAAGCCTTGCAGTTCTGACAGGGGGCAATAGGCTGACTCTGTAAACCAGAGGTCTCCAAACTTGGCAACTTTAAGGCTTGTGGACTTCAACTCCCAGAATCCCAGCATAGCTGGTTGGCTGAGAATAGCTGGCTGAGGAATTCTTTAGCATAGCTGGCTGGAGAATTCTGGGAGTTGAAGTCCACAAGCCTTAAAGTTGCCAAGTTTGGGGGGGGCCTGCTGTAAACACACAGAGCAAAAGCTCTTATATACCACTTTACAGCTGCTTAGAGAAGGCTGTAAAGCAGTATATAAGTTTCAGTGCTATTGCTAACACTGAGATGCTTTGCAGTGATGTCATCTTTTACAGTTGTGGTTAAAACAACACTGCTCTTCCACATTTCTCTTTAAAGGAAAAGTGGAAATAGCTGCCTTGTGAGAAAGGATAACGGATCAGGAATGAGGATTAAGGACCAATTTACCTGTCTTGGGGAAACTGGTGGAAGAGGAAGACTACTTTCAATGGAACACCCTTCCCTTTGACAGGCATCCAGTTGCCCTGTCTCATTTGTCTTTCTTCAGATTGCTTTGAATTGAAGTTGTGTGGGGTTATTTATTTGCCATGAAGTCAGAACAGAATCTGTGCTCTTAGCCACTTCCCTTCATTTGAGAAGGCTGCTCTCCAGGGGTTGGTGGAGAGGGCTGAAAGCATTACAAGCAGGTGGAGTTTATTAAAGAAGGGAAAGAAATATTTGTGCATACAGCACTTATGGTAGTCCCACTAAGAATAACAGAGAACCCCATTCCCTTCTAGTATTGATAATGTTACCTAGTTGGGTAATAAAATGTCTGCGAAAAAGCAACCACCATGCTCAGAGAGCATCAAGAACAGCAGAAGTTTCTTCTTGAGGTGCAAAAAGTGTTGCTTTTACTCGGTCAAACTTTTGCTACTTTTTCCTCACCAGAATTAATCAAACTCTGTTCCATTATGGGACACAGTTGGGCACCATTATGTTAAAAGATTTAAAATTCTGTAGTCATCCAGAAAATAAAGAGTTTCCATCATCGTACTGTTATTTCAAACTTTGCTGTAGTGCAAACATTATTTTGTACAGATGTACTTTCCCTGTTCCTTTTTAAAATATATTTAATTAATAAAAAAAATAGTGAAAGGAGACTCCTTGGGAGCGTTTCTGGACTTTAGAACAGATGTCAGTAGAAAGAGTGAAAATAGCAGCCAGTTTGGTCTAGGAGTTAAGGCGCCAGGCTAAAAGCAGGAGACTGTGAGTTCTAGTCCCGTCTTAAACATGAAAGTCAGCTGGGTGACTTTGACCAATCCCTAGGAGAATGTGAATTCTAGTCCCACCTTAGGCATGAAAGCCAGCTGGGAGACTTTGGGCCAATCACCAGGAGACTGTGAGTTCTAGTCCCACTTTAGGCATGAAAGCTAGCTGGGTGACCTTGGACCAATCCCTCTCAGTCCAACCCATTTCGCAGGTTGTTGTGGAGAAAACAGGAGGAAGAAGATGTGTTAGATATGTTTGCCACCTTGAGATGTTTGTAAAGGCAGGAAATAAATAAATAAATAAAAACACCTGAAATAGCAAGGAACTCGGGGAGACCTTCTCTACCCACCAGTAGGGAGTAAGCTTTTTTAAGTTAAGACAGCAGTTCCTCTCTTAATATATTATAATATTCAGGGCTGCAGCCACTTGCCTCAGCCAGCAGCCCATTTCAAACCTAAAGGCCCACCTGCGGCATTCCCTTCTACCTCTGCCTCTGTTAACCAGGCTGTGCTCCAGGAAGGGTGTGTTAAGGTCTGTCTTTCAAAAGAGCCAACCAAGTTCAACCCAGATCAGCAGAATAACTTCCCAGCCCCACCCAAAAACCCAAATCCCTACAAGTTACTTACTTTCTATTTTGGGGCACTGTGGACTTACGACTTTCAAAGGCTCCTTCTTGGGCCTCATAGGGCACCAGGAACCGTCCTCCTGGAACTTGATCTCATCAACATCTGAACATTCATTCAAAATTTCCATAAAGAGCCTAGAAAACAACACATTAAACATGACCGGCGTGATTCCATTAATCATTCAGATATTTTCCTCGGTAACATCCTGGAGCATCCTTCCCATATCCAACGGTTATTATTCACATGAACTACTAGTAAGCTACACACACACACACTATACAGGTGACAACTTGTGACAACTGAGCCCAACATTTCTGTTTCTAAGCAAGACAGTTGTGAAGGGAATTTTGCCCCATTTCACAACTTTTCTTGCCGCTGTTATTAAATGAATCATTGCAGTTGTTACGTTAGTCACACGGTTGTTAAGTGAATCTGGCTTCCCTGCTGCTTGTCAGGAGGTTGCAAAAGGTGATCACATGAATAGGATAAATAGGAGCCAATGACCAAGTGCCCAAATTTTGATCATGTGACATGAAGATGCTGAATCAGTGATAAAGTGTGATAAAGTGTGTTGTAAGTCACTTTTTTTGGTACTGTTGCAACTTCAAATGGTCACTAAACGAATGGTTGTAAATGGTTGAAGACTATATATATAGTATATAGTACATAGTATATATGCGATGACCTGGGATGTGGCACAAAAACAACAAAGTCACAAAAGTAGGTAAAGTCCCTTTAATTCCTCCAAATTGGCCCCCAATGTCCAGTTATCATCGGCTGGAGAAACAACTCTCCCAAGAAGTTTTTAAAGGGAAGAAATTCAGTCCGAACCCAAAGTACATATAAATTATAAATAAAAACCAACACAAACCACGCTGCAGCAATTAACGAGACAGGCCAGGATAAGGGATTGAAGACTTCAAAAGATAACGAAACACACACAGTTGAGAGGATCCAGAACCCAGATAAGACTTGACAAAGATAATTCACACTTCCAGCAAGATCCTGTGCACAAAAGCCCTTTTTAAAATCCTGATTTCCCAGCTGCAGCTAATGAAAGGAATCAGGGCCCTTTTCTCCCCCGTAACCCCCGTTGCTCCATTCTCTGTTCCTCTTTGCATGCCCTAGGATGAAGAGAGGGTGGACCTGGGTCTTCCTCTGAATGCCCAGCTGGACTGTGCCCTTCCCCAGTTTCTCCCACACCTACCGGAGCCATACTCCCACTCTCCATCAGCTGCTCGACTCCTAGAGGAGATCAACCCTGACTGTTCTTTAGAAGGCCAGATCCTGAAGGTGAAACTCAAATACTTTGGCCACCTAATGAGAAGGAAGGGGACTCACTGGAGAAGAGCCTAATGCTGGGAACGATTGAGGGCCAAAAAAGAGAAGGGGACATCAGAGAAGGAGGTGGCTGGATGGAGTCACCGAAGCAGTCGGCATGAGCTTAAATCAGAAGTCTTCAAACTTGGCAACTTTAAGACTTGTGGACTTCAACTCCCAGAATTTCTCAGCCAGCTGGCTGAAGAATTCTGGGAGTTGAAGTCCACAAGTCTTAAAGTTGCCAAGTTTGAGGACCACTGGCTTAAATGGACTCTGGAGGATGGTGGAGGACAGGAAGGCCTAGAGGAACGTTGTCCATGGGGTCGCAATGGGTCGGATACGACTTCATGACTAACAACAACAACAAATGAACATGGATATATATGTTCGCTGCACCTTACAGAGTTATTAAAAGGAATCAGGAACAGATAGGGAAGCAAGGATTACTTTTTGTGTGCATTTTCCCACCTGTCTACTTTTCCTTTTTTTAAAAACAAATACAACCCTGCCTTATATTTAAAACTGTCTTTCATTTAACATATGCGGGAAATATTAGTACTGTGGCTCAACTGCTTTTTGTAATCCGAAGAAGACAATGATTACACGAGCAGCCATATAAAACTCCACCCCACGGGCTTGGGAGGAAGCCCTCTATCTGGGTTCTTACCCATCCAGGATGAGATTCTCGTATGTCGCTTTCTTGTCGCACACGGGACAGATCCAGGTCGGCTTCTTCTCATTCATTTGAAGATAGAGAGCGGCATCAAAGCACTGCAGGTGAGTACAAGTGCCGGCACGGCAGGGGATGGTCAGCCTCATTTTCCCCAGCTGGAGACCCAATCGGGGAGGAAGAGAACAGGGAGGAAGAGAAAGAAATTCCATTCTCAGGAAATGAAACGGAAAGGCCCTCGTTTTGGACATATGGTCAAATCCCTCCCAAATGCAAGGATCTAAATTAGGGCATTCCCCACAATGGAGGTCCTGCTACTGCACGAACGCGTCTAATTTAACTGGAGAAATGTTTTTTTTCCATCTTGGCAACTTTAAGAAGGGTGGACTCCAACTCTCAGAATTCCACACCCAGTCCATATATATTTGTAGTGATAATTAAGACCAAATGGGAAGAGTGCAGAGAAGAGCAACAAAGATGATTAGGGGCCTAGAGGCTAAAAAATACTATGGACGGTTGCAGGAATTGGGTATGTCTGGTTTAATGAAAAGAAGGACAAGGGATGGCATGATAGAAGTCTTTTAATATTTGAGGGGCTGCCACAAAGAAGGTGGGGGGGTTGTCAACCTATTTATTTCTTTTATTGTAGGAAGCTTTGAATTCCAAGCAGAAAGTATACATTCCAGATAACGTTCTACATAAAACTGGAAGCAGAGCAATCCATTGTTAATGTGTTTTTATTTTCCCCATAAAAGCTTAATCCAAAAAAAGAGAGAGAGAGAGAAAAGTCAAGAGGACTTTCTCCTTAGTTTTACTTACAGGACACATCAGTGATACTCGCAGGCTGGTTGTAGCAATTTCACTATCTGGATCAGCAGTGAGTTTTTCTTTAACTTTCAGTGGGAAAAAAGAGAGAAGTATTAAAAATGCAGAATGACTGTCATATTAAATACAGTGCCTAATAAAAGTTCTGCTTTACCTGCTTATCATTAGAAAATCGGACATGTTTTTTAAAAAAAACAATGAAGCTCCGTGGTATAACTTTTGAAAAACCTCACCATACAAATGCTTGCCTCCCAGCGTACAATTAATTCATCTGGAGGGGAAATAGGTTAGCAATGGAAATTTGGGGCTCAGTTTATGATCGTAAACTGAAAATTATCTATATAAAGTTAATCTCTTTGCATTTTAAAGGTTGACTGAAAACTTTTTAGTCTGTTTTATGTTCATCTCTTCTCAGCTTTCTCTAAAACAAAAGACATCATTTTATTCCGGCTACAACCTTGTTAAGACAGTAACAGAAATGTTTACATTTATGTGGAACTCCCAAGAATACTTTGGTAAGGAACTACCCAGCCACTTTCATTGGAGTACATTTGCTGGAAAAAACTGGAGCCCAATAACAGCTTCCATATGCATGCAAGAACCGCTTTACTCACTTAGTGCCCGAGAATGATCAGGATTCCGAATACCCTTCAATTTTAGTCTCTGTAGCAACATTGCTGAAGTCAGCTGGCGCACGAGATACACAGACATTGAGTAATTCTACAGGGGGGAAATCATAAAAGAATCAGTGAGTTCTACTCTGTAGTGAAGAATTAATACACTCAACTTTAATCTACAGCAATGTTTCTCAACCTTGGCAACTTTAAGGTGGTTGGATTTCAATTCCCAGCAAAGCTTTCTGGGAATTGAAGTCCACACATCTTAAAATTGCCAAAGTTGAGAAACACTGGTCTGTAGCAGGTACAGAAAGGAGCACAGTCACTTAAAGGGGGGGGAAAACATCTTACAGCTTACCTTTCCAATTTCAGATGTCCAGGATATAGAAATCTGGTTTGGCACCGCAGAGGAAAGTCTAACTAATGATGTAATGTTCAAGGGACGTCCAGGCCTCTTCTGTTCAATTCCATTTTTAGGTGGAGGTGCATATCCCTGAAAAACACGGCATTTCCCCCATCATATATTTTCCTTCAGGGATTTATTTTTAGCATGCCTTTATTATTTTTATAAATAACTCAAGGCAGCAAATGTTATCTAATGCTCTTTTGTCCTTGTATTTCCCCCAACATGGAATAGGGGGTGTAGTACATTCATCTAAAATTATGAAAAGGTTCAATTGATGCCTGCAGAAGCATTAAGTGTGTGCTTAGTTCTTTTGAGGTATTTGGTACAAAACTGAGTGAATGTATTCCCCTGGAGCTCATTCCCACATAAGTAAGGGCTGCGGTTCTTATGATTTAATTCAGGGACAGTAAAAATGCCACATCTGGAGTTACAAGGTTATTTCAAACATTACCATCACAGGTTATAGGCAGCCCTGGAAATATCTCTTTCTAGCCCTTCTCTTCTTGTGTAGAAAAGGAAAACCAGAACAAGAAATGCAAAGATAATTAGAGAAAAGGCATTCACTTATTTTTTGCAAATACAGGTAGTCCTCGACTTATGTCCATAATTGAGCCCCAAATTTCTCTTGCTAAGTGAGACAGATGTTAAGTGAATTTTATCCCATTTTATGATGTTGTTAAGTGCATCGCTGCAGTTGTTAACAACACGGATGTTAAGTGAATCTGGCTTCCAAATTGACTTTGCTTGTCAGGTCGCCAAAGGGGATCACGTGACCCCAGGACCCTGCAACCGTCATAAATATGAGTCAGCTGCCAAGCATCTGAATTTTGATCATTTGACCCTGGTGATGCTGCAATGGTTGTAAGTGTGAACAATGGTGATAAGTCACATTTTTCAGTGTTATAACTTCAAATGGACTAAATGAACTGTTGTAAGTTGAGGACTACTTGTAATCGTAGGATTCTTTTTTTCTTTCTTTTCTGTCTGTTCCCAGAATTGTTCTTGTATTAACTGTCTTCAGAACAGACCATAATATTCCAGCGGACAATCTACATCAGGATATCCAACCTTGACAACTTTAAGACCCTAGAATTCCCCAGCCAGTTGAAGTCCACAGGTGTTAAAGATGCGTGTTGGTCACCCCCGGTCTATATGGGCCATGGTGGCGCAGTGGTCAGAGTGCAGTACTGCAGGCTACTTCTGCTGACTGCCGGCTGTCTGCAATTTGGCAGTTCAGTTCTCACCAGGCTCAAGGTTGACTCAGCCTTCCATCCTTCCAAGGTGGGAAAAATGAGGACCCAGATAGTTGAGGGCAATATGCTCACTCTGTAAACCTCTTCGAGAAGGGCTGTAAAGCACTGTAAGCAGTATATAAGTCTAAGGGCTATTGCTGTATGATGTTACATCCAGGAGATTTAAGTACAAAGACAAAACAAAGTTCAGTTTCAGGCAGAAGAATTGCAAACATTTGATTTTTTAAAAATATTTTTGTATTTTCTATTTAACATGGTGAGTCACTCAGTCATGAATTTGAGGTGGGCATCCATACACATAAAAATAATAAATACATCAAAATAACTTAGTAACCATACCGGCAACGGAAAGAGCTTCCCGTTCACTTTTATGCATAAACTATTGGGGTAGTTATCCTCTTGAGGGCAGCTTGTTTCTGCTAGGCACAGTCTATTTGCAAAAGAAAAATCTGTTCAGTCCATGCATTTAAGTTACCATTCATTCTAGTTAAAAGAAGGCACTATGGATACGTTATCGTAAGAAAGTCGGAAGTCACCTCAATTGAACCTGCACTGTGTAATCTCTTCTGCCTCCGGGCAAAAAGTCCCTGTAGCAAGGGAAATAGAAACGGTTTAGACAGAGCTGATTTTTCTGACCTCCCTCTTTCAACACGAACTTGCTTCGGCCAGTGTTAGGATCCACCGCTTCAATAAAGATGCATTTACAAAGGCAGTTTTCTCCCCACATGGCTTGTTGTTTTCGGACAACATACAACCAGCTTCCCCAGTGGCAGAAATAAATGTTGAAGAAAGTTGACAGGTTTGTTCAGAGGTATGAAGTCTCAGAGGATGAATGACATTTTAAACATTAGCCTGTCGTATTTGAAAGCCATGGGCAACTGCAGCCTAAGGACTTCATGACTAACTGTGATAAGACTGTTACTCATCGTGGCCTTATCAGTTGCATATGGGACTGAAGATGCAAGCTAAGTGCGACTGTTCGGAGATGTAGGATTCACTTCCAGGGGTCCTTGCTGCTCTCTGAGCTTGCTTGTTTTCTTGCAAATGTTTTATTACCTTAACTAGGTAACATCATCAGTGCTAACTTTAGCATTGGTGATGTTTCTTTAGGGTAATGAAACATCTGCAAGAAAACAAGCAAGCTCAGAGAACACCAAGGACCCCTCAGGGCACCCCTGAGCCACAAATATTCTCCTTTATTAGGCTTCACTTTTGCATCAAACCTTCTTTCTGACGTTCCCGAGTAAAACATTCAGGAACCAAAAGATCTGATTGTCAGGTTTAAAGGGTGGTAATGAAATGTCTGCAAAAAAAACCCTATCAAGCTCAGAGAGCACCAAGGATCCTCACAGTTCAACCCTGAGCTACAAATATTCTTGTCTATTGGTTCTATTTCAGCAGTGGCTAAGTTGGCCCAAAAACAACCCATCAAAATATTCAGTGACGATGACCACCATTCCCTCCTCCTTTTTTGATTAGGTCTATTGAAACTGGAGCAGAATGCTTTCATCAGTTCACTAGGATTGCTCGGAAATTACCTACTACAAGTTTGCAATTAAGTCCTTTCTTGTGGCCCAAACTGGATGTATACTTGTGGTGTAGGTACAAAAAGTCAGGCCGCAGTATTGGAAGAAAATTAGATTTAAAAACTGGCCTGTAAGAATATAGGGGTCTCTTACCTAAACCACTATTCATTGTGGTCAGTGCAGTGTATGAGAAATCTTGGCACTGTCTCCCGTTTTGCATGCTTGTTTCTTGAGATGTTCTCCATACAATTTCAAAAACTCTTACCCCCATCCCACCCCCATTTAGGCCGGGGGACATATGGATGAATCCTGCTTTTGTTGTCTAGCCTTAATAAGCAACATACCCCTTTCTGAATAGCTCAAACAGAGAGGATGCCTATATGTAGAGTGAATTTATTGTCATGTGTTACCCATTTACAGAAACTCAAGGCCATAAACTCCATTGGAAGGCGTAAAAATGCCCACTGGCAAAAAGCAAGAAACACCAATGAGGATAAATAAAAATATAAAATGAAAGAATAAAGCAGAGCTGAAAGACAGGAACAAATAAAATTAAAACAAGGAAGGGGCCATATTAATTGGAAGCTTGCAAAATGTTGCTGAAGAACCAATAGTTCCAGAGGTTCTAGGGCAATCCAAGTTGTAGTGAGGAAAAGGCCTTAAAACAGTATAAAAGAAATACTGTGAGCTTAGAGGTTTTCAACAAAGACTGATACTTCCATCAGTGTGAATCTCTGAAACCGTAATGAAAAACCTGATTTTTTTTTTGTAAATAATTGCCCCTAGAGTTTAGCTTTGCTGTGTTGATACTGTTCACTCTTTTGATGTGTCAAAGTCTGTTTTCTTGGACATGTATGAGAATTGTTATAAATTAATGGTTAATTTTGATTTTATTTCAATATGTATATATCATTTTTATAGGTATATGTCCCAGCAAACAGTGTATATATGTTATTCAGCTTTGTTTGGGTATTTTCCCACGTCATTGTAGTTGTGCTTTTAAAGTTGTAGCAACGTTTCGGCAGAATCTCATCTGCCATCATCAGGCTTCTGCAGATGAACACTATACAGAAGCCTGATGATGACAGATGAGATTCTGCTGAAACGTTGCTACAACTTTAAAAGAACAACTACAATGACGTGGGAGAATACCCGAACAAAGCCAAACATGTATCCGCGAAAACTTAACATATGTATATGTATGTGTGTGTGTGTGTGTGTGTGTGTGTGTGTGTGCATATATATATATATATATATATATATATATATATATATATATATATATAAATGGAGTTTCAGATATCGTACAGAACAAAATATTAAATGGCCTACTAATCCAATTTACGGTTCAGTTTGCATTCATATAATAAATATTCTATAACTAAAGAACAGGCATTGTATATAAAAAAATAAGCACAAGGAAGCAATCATTTTGCTTTGAGAGAATTCACAAAATGCCTAATACCCAGCAAGGATTGGGAGATAAAATGTCTAAGGTAGTTTTTCATGATACGAAATTGTGCATAGGAAAATTCAGTCCAAGCTTTCTGCTATTACCTGGAAATGCAGATTTCTCTGACTTGTTGGGGTGTTAAAGCAAAAATAAAGAACTTCTCCTGGAATCTCTGAATACTGCTCTGTACTAAAGAGAAAGAGAGAGAAAAGATCTTTTGAGCTGAATACAGGAAATCTTTTCTTATTGATACAAAAACATGTCGAACCTTACAAGGAATTATCAATGCACAGAGTAAAGCTTCAACGCATAAATATCACCTGTGTATTGAGAAAGCTCTAAAACTCATACACTTCTATCCTTTCCCAAAACCGTTGTATTTACATTCTTCAGGAAATTGTTAAGTTCACAACTTTAAAGTAATCATAACAGAGGAGTGATAAGTTGCAAGCAGTATTAACCAAGAAAAATGTTCTCTCCTTACAGATGGCTAAGAAACTACATTGATAATAAATATTTAAAACACATCCAGATACAGAATGCTATATACCTACTTAAGTATAAGGGCTTTGAATGACATATCTTATATACACTTGCTTTCCAACCATATAATCAGCACATTCAGAACTATGCTAAATTTCAAAATTAATTTCTAGAATGTGTTTCCTCAATTTCCCTGAACATTTATATCCTGATAACTCTGGACTGAAGGTTTTGCTGGCCAGGATTAGATAAATAAAAGTGAACAAGCAGCAGATAGCAGGTCAAAGGCAGGGAGCACACTAAGTGAAAGAAGAGATGTGGGAGAGATGATCCAAAGCTAAGGAAGAAGAATATGGTGGGAAGGAAAATCAGAGATAGGAGCCAAAACATAGGAAAGAAAAAAGGTGTACAGCTGGTTGTACAAGATACAACCGTAACCGTAGTCGCATGTTGTGACAGTCCTTGGCTTCTCACCTAACGACCTGCCATTCCTGCTCTCCCCAGTACAATCATTAAAGAATTATGTGGGCCATTAAGAGGAGCATCAGGTGTGTCGAAAGTGGGGAAGGGCCTTGGAGGACTAACACAGGCCCAGGCTTGCCTCCTCCGGGCCTCCCCTATCCCCGAGGAACCCACTACTCTACTCCCCATTTTTCGAGGTTCCTCAGGTCTTAGCCTGCTCCCAAGTTGACTATTCAGCCAGGCACGGAAGCCCAAACTTGATCAAAAGAAGCAACTGGCAGATGGAGGATAGGTATTTTGAGCCATGGTGTGGTTAGAATGCAGTACTGCAGGCTACTTCGGCTGCCTGCCGGCTGCCTGCGATTTGGCAGTTCAAATCTCACCAGGCTCAAGGTTGACTCAGCCTTCCATCCTTCCAGAGGTTGGTAGAACGAGGACCCAGATTGCTGGGGGCAAGAAGCTGACTCTGTAAACTGCTTAGAGAGGGCTGTAAAGTACTGGGAAGCAGTATATAAGTCTAAGTGCTATCACTATTTGCCACCCAGCCATCACAGGACCTTAAGGCCTCCCTCCGTCCTTCAGGATTCCCAGACCGGCCACTTGGCCATGCAAGGGAGCCTAAATAAGCTATCAGCACCCAGAGAGGAGTTACAGCCTGTGGGCCTTGGGTGGTAGCTTCTTTAGGCTCCTTTGCATGGCTGGGTGGCCATCTTGGGAGCAGGCTGAGGCATGGGGAACTCCTGAGGAGCATAGGGTGGGAGGCTGAATGGGAAGCAAGTTGAGGCCTACAGGCTATAACTAGTAGCTTGACACACCTGATGCTCCATTTAATGACCGACATAATTCTTTAATGATTGTACTGGGCAGAGAAAAAAAGCTTTATATAGGAGATGGGCAGATGAGAACGTAGCAAAAGAATACATAGTGGTAGGAACTCTGTCAGAAAACTCAGAAATGAGCTGAGGCTTGTGAAAAATGCCCCCCCCAAAACCCCAATAAATAAGGAAAAGCAAGGAAGGGCTGAGACTGTTATGAGGAAAAAATGGACATGGTAACAAAAAAGAACTTAATTTCTGGTTTGCGTCTGTCTTCTCTCAGAAGTGAAACTGAAACCTAGCTGATCATGGATAGGCCACTGGGGAATGAGATTCTCCCCACCCCCCAAAAAAAAATCAGACCAAAAAAAAAAACCCTCCGAAAAGAGAGCTAATTAAATGAATTAACATCACCAAGCCTCAATGGGTTACATCCCGGAATATTGAAGAAACTGCCAGAAATGACTGAACTGGGTCTAGGCCAAGTTGCTGTGAGCAACTCGCCGCAAGACAATTCAAGATTGTACTAATTATTTCATTCAGGTATTTTATTATTAGTGATGTTTTTGTCAAAATTATTGTAACTCTTGTATTTCTGATCACATTTACTTTATTATTACTGGTCATGGTTCTGTCTTTAAGTTAATTCAATTTTTATATTTGTTGAATTGTCTGACAGTGAGTTGGCCTGGGCGAATTGGTCCATTCTGGACTGAACCACTAGTCTTATTATCAACTGGCTCTGAAAATGGATGGCAATGGAAGTCAGGTCCATACTTGGGCTAGGCTTTACAAGGAAGTTGCTGTAGTAGGCACTAAAGCTTAGCTCTGAGATAGCTGTGGGGCTGAAGATCATGGAAGCATAGGAGATATTCAAACGAGAATAGTTGAAGGATGAAACATCTCATGTGAACAGCAGTTCTGAGAGGATGGCCAATGGCTTCTATTGTCCTTCAGATAATCAACAGACTATCAGGTTCAGATCCATGAGACTAGCAGGGATGAGTGCTCTCTGGAAAGCTGAGATATTGAAATGTTCCCAAGAAAATGTCTATGGAGATTCTCAGTCATCCAGGACATGGTTGTCCCAAAGGTGTTTTTTTGAGAGGCAACTTTCAAAACAACTTCACAAATGCATGGCACAACATAGGAGAACAAACTCATCAGGACTAGATTCAGCAGCCCACCTCCATTTAAAAGACACAGGCCACTCATTTGAAGACAGCAAAGTCCACATTTTGGACAGAGAAGACTGCTTCTTCTGAAAAAAGGGGTCAAAGAGGCCATTTAGGTCAAAATTGAACAGCCCTCTCTCAACAGAGGGGGAGGGATATGACATCATCTATCTCCAGTCTACAACACAGTCCTTTGAGCAGTTCCAAGAAGGTTCCACACCCATTTGCACCACTCAGGTGGCCCTGAGGACACAGATAAAACCTCCAAGTGCCCTCAAAGACTCCCTGAAACAATGCAAACGACCAGCTGTCTGCAAGGAATCTAAATCCTTCCATTCCACACCATCCAGTCAGAGCTGAAGAAGTTTCTTGGATGAGAAGTGAAAGGTCTTCAAGGAAAAAACCAGAAAGTCTAGTTGCCTCTTGATAAAGCACCTCTGGGTTCCCAAGGGAAGTTTGTGGTAAGAAGCTGAAGAAGCTTCTTGGATGAGAAGTGAAAGGTCTTCAAGGAAAAAACCAGAAAGTCTAGTTGCCTCTTGATAAAGCACCTCTGGGTTCCCAAGGGAAGTTTGTGGTAGCTCTCTGGAAAGTTGTCTTTTCTGTGTGAAGGGCAGGGTACTTTGAAATAGGTATGCCCTGAGAAAGAAGCTCGTGCCTCAGACTTGTTGTGGTTCTGGAGGCGCTTACTAAGCTCTCATCAGTCCTTCAAAATTGTATGTGTTTACTCATGTGTGTGTTGGCTTCATGGGGTAAACCAAATGGGAATCTCAAGCAGATGAGCTAATGCTACTTTCTTGTAAACATACGTTGTCAGACCCTTGTAGGTCTGAAAGTATAATCTTCTAAAAAACTTAATTCTTCTGATATTGATTTGTAATTGGTTTTTTAGAAGTTTATTTGTTCTCAAAATGAGAAGATAATGCAATATGTCTGTGTATGGTCCAGATTTAATAAGCTTTAACAATAAGTTTGAATTAATTCGCTTTGTCTTTTTTAATTTATTTTAATCATTTGGTTTTCTTTCTGCAGTGTATAATCACCACCTCTTTTTTGTTGGTGGTGCCGTTACTATTTGCATCTCACTATTGAAAAAGAAAATCTAATTTTCAAAAGCCCACTCTTTTAATCTCTGAGAATTCTTGGAGGATTGATGAAGTCCCGGAAGACTGGAGGAAAGCAAATGTTGTCTCCATATTCAAAAAAGTGGGGAGGCCCCAGGAAGCTACAGACAGGCAACCTGATATCAATCCTGGGGAAGGTTCCGCATGTTTGTGAGCACATGGATAGGCAGGCGATAATTAAAAACCAGCATGGGAATTGTAGCAAACAATCTTTGCCAGATTAACTTCATCTCCTTCTTTGAGAGAATAAGTGGCACTTTCTCAACCTTGGGAGAAAAATGAAGCTTGGTAGATCGGGGGAATGCTATAAACATATTGTATTTGGCCCTCAACAAAGCCTCTGACAGATTGCTTAATGATATTCTTTAATTAAAATATGGGGTAGATGATACTGCTAAACGGACTTAACAGTTGGCTAAATGACAATGCCCGAAATGTGTATTGTTCATGGCTGCATTTCATCTTGGAAAGACGTATTAAAATAAAAAGCAACAGAATTCTGTCAGGGACCCTGTGCTGTTCCAAGATTTTTATTAATTATCTAAATGAAAGTATTGAGGAGACGCCTAGATATGAGCATCCTTGTCAATCATAAGTTAAACATAAGCCAGTAAAGGTAGTCCTCTACTTACAACAGTTCATTTGGTGACCATTCAAAGTTACAATGGCACTGAAAAAAGTGACTTATGAACATTTTTCACACAACCGTTGCAAAGCATCCATGTGGTCAAAATTCAACTGCTTGGCAACTGGCTCAGATTTTATGAGAGTTGCGGTGTCCCAGGTGATCCCCTTTTGCCGCTTTCTTAGGAGCAAAATCAATGGGGAAGCCAGATTCACTTAACAACCGTGGTACTCATTTAACAGCTACAGTGATTCGTGGCAGTGATTCGTGGCGAGAAAGGTCATGGAACGGATCAAAATTCACATAACATTTTTTTATTAGTTTATCAAAGTATAAAATACTAAGAAAAAAAAGTAGTGGAAAACTAAGAAAAGGGGGAGGGAAAAGAAGAGATATATAATGTAGAGAGAGAAAAGGAAAGAAAAAGGCACTGACTTCCGAAATGTTGGACTCAGATGTGGTCGTAAGTCAAAGACTACCTGTATTGCAGTGGCTAAAAAGGCAAATGGCAAGAGCACATTTTTTAAATGGAAAATAATTGCTGCATTCCATCTATCAGGAGTGCTGTTTCTGGTTCTGTGCAACACTGTTCAAAGAGAATTGTGACAAATTCAAGCAAGGTGTTGAAGATTTTGGAAACCAAGCCCTATGAGGCACAGTTAAAAGGTCGGAGTATGCTTTGCCTTCAGAAGAGATAACAGAAGAGATTTGATAGGAATTTTTTAAGTATCTGAAGAGCTGCCCCATAGGCTTTATTATTCAGTGTCCTTGAGGCTAGGATCACTAATTTAACAAATACGATTCCCTTAACAACTCCCTGCCAAGTCGTAAAGAAGTCGTAAAATGGGACAAACTCACTTAACAAATGTTTCACTTAGCAACAAAAATTTTGGGGTCAATTGTGGTCGTAACTCAAGGATTACCTGTGTGTGTGTGTGTGTGTGTGTGTGTGTGGTATTCAGCTTTGTTTGGGTATTTTCCCATGTCATTATAGTTGTGCTTTTAAGGTTGTTGCGACATTTCGGCAGAATCTCATCTGCCATCATTAGGCTTGTGTATTGTGTTCGTCTGTGGGTCAGGCTTTCACAGCCGTTTCTGTTTTAAATTTGGTGCTAGCCTACTGCTGTGCCAGAATGGTTTTTTCTTCATCCTGATTGGTTGGGAGTCTTGGTCTGTGTTTATTGGTCTTGGAGTTTGCTG